TATATAGGGCTTCTATAAAACTTCCAGAAGGGATATAGACCTTCTATAAGGCTCCTATAACGGTAACTACCCACCTGAAAATTTCCTAGACGAGGACTGTTTGCAAACGCTTGGGTGGATAAGATTTAGGGTTTGGGATTTGGGCATTTGGGGTTTAGGTTTGAGTCCTTAGCACGTTTGCTGTGGGGCTGTCTTGCTTCGGAGAGCCTGCGCTAGAGCCTCGGTAGAGCTTGAATAAGTAGGACATCCTCACACCCTCAAAACCCCAATATAGGGGCCTTAAAAGTTAGAATAGGGGTTTTGGGGTATATTACACTATAATCATATTAAGGAACCCCCAAAATAGTATAGGTAATTATTTAGGCCCCTATAAGTAGGAAAACCCTAAGCCCCAAACCCTAAACCCTAAACCCCAAACCCTAAACCCTAAACCCTAAACAACAAACGCTACACCCTGATTCATTATCATAACCCTCTATCAGTTTCTTGCGTCCTTTTGTGTGCAAACAAGATGCCGTAAAGCTCTACAAGACTTCCGTATAAAGAATCTGACCACGAAAATTCTAAGGAAGCTTCTTAAGACCGTTTGAACACAGTTATAAAGAGCCTTAGGTAGCTTACATCCATAAACGGCCAGAGCTCAAGGAGGCCAAGAGCACTTCGGCGAGTGCTGCGATGTCCCGGCCCAAGAAGCACAGGAAGGTGTTCCTCGTCGCCCTAAACCCTAAACCCTAAACCCTAAACCCTAAACCCTAAACCCTAAACCCTAAACCCTAAGCCCTAAACCTTAAACCGTTTTGGGTTTGGGCGGGTTCAAGATTCGGGCCAAGGGCTTGGGGGTATTAGGGTGTTAGGGTTTAGGTTTTAGGGTTTAAGGTTTGAGGATTTAAGGGTTTAGGGTTTGAGGATTTCAGGGTTAAGGGTTTTAGGGTTTAGGGCTTAGGGCTTAGCGTCTCTTTGAAGCTTCGGGTTTGGGGGCTTAGGCCTTCGTCAGAGGGCTTAGGCTGCGGAGTTAGGTACCTTCGGGCTTCCCTTGCGTTCTAGGGTATAGGATTTAGGGTTTAGGGTTTAGGCAGGATAACAAATACAGCACATGTATAAACAAGCACCAAAAAAACAGCCCTAGACCCTAAACCCTAACCCTCAGTCCCGAAAACAAGGCCTAAACCCTAAACCCGAAACCCTAAACCCTAAACCCTAAACCCTAAACCCTATAAACATCCTATAAAAGACTGGAGGATAGCTGCCTCCCAGCTTCGTACCGACTCCGGCCTCACGCCAGACCACGAAGCGCTCGCGGCCGCCGAAGACGCGCTGGGCCGCGACGCCCTCCGAGAGAAGCCCTAGGAACCTTAAGATCGGGGCCTTCATACAGGGGCCTTAATAAATTAGAGCAGGGTTTTGGGGCCCATTAATCTAGAATTATAGTAAGGAACCCCCCAAAATAGTATTGACTCTGATTTAGGCCCCTAGATCAGGAACCCCAAGATCGGTGAGTAGAGCCGGGTTCCTTTGAGGGGCCCAAAGACCTCCAAGAGAGGGTTCAGGGGTTGGGGGTTTAGGGTTTAGGGTTTAGGGTTTAGGGTTTAGGGTTTAGGGTTTAGGGTTTAGGGTTTAGGGTTTAGGGTTTAGGGTTTAGGGTTGGGTTTCGTAGGCTTTACTGGGGGGCGGGGGTTTAGGGTCTCAGCATAGGGGGCCTTAATAAGAGGTCCTGCAAAGGTTTCCTGCAAGGGTTCCTTAAAAGGGCTCTCTAAGGGTTGCTACAAGGATTATTAGAAGAGTGGCCTTGACAATTAAAGTAGGACTTTGGAAACAGATCTCTTCGTTAAAGAGTCACAGATAGGAGTTCAGGATTTAGAGCTAAAGTTTGGGAGGGTGATAGGTTTTTCAAGAGTTTCGGCTTTGGGGTTTCCTGGGCTTAACCCCACCCCAAACCCTAAACCCTAAACCCTAAACCCTAAACCCTAAACCCTAAACCCCAAACCCTAAACTAAACCTTAAACTCCGAAGGTGGAGGCTTTTGGGATTCAGGGCCTGGGGGTCAGGTTTAAAGGCAGCTTCGGTAGTCACTTGCAGGAAATCTCCTAGTTGGCCGCGGCTCTTGGGGGCACTAAGGGTTTAGGGTTAGAGCTTGCGGTGCTGGAGTCTTGCGGGTGATTAGGACGGATAGTTCATTTAGTCTTTCAGTAAGGGGTCCGAAACCCAATTACCCCTAGACCCTAAATCCCATACCCTAAACCCTAACCCATGGCCTCAGATATCCTTAAAACAAAAGGAAGCCGAGTGCTGTAATTAGGTGCTACTGTACCCGGTTGAAGGCAAACCCTAAACCCTAGAGTTTAGGGGTTCAGGGTTTAGGGGTTTAGGGTTTAGGGTTTACGGGTTTGGGGTATGACACTAAAGCGTATTATGTTGAGGGTCCCCGACTTTGCGAACTTCCCGTCTGCCTGCGTCAGGAGCAGCAGGAACAGTGCCAGCAGCGGATGCCTTCACGGGGTGCCCTAAACCCAGAACGACTGCTCTGGTCCTCAGGGTTTAGGGTTTCGGGCTTAAGGGTTTAAGGGTTTAGGGTTTGGGGGTTTAGGGTTTGAGGGTTTAGGAGTTTAGTGTTTAAGGGTTTAGTGGTTTAGGGTTTAGGGTTTAAGGGTTTAGGGTCCTGGGCTTCGGGGTCTAGAAGCTTGTGGGTCCTACGAGAAGCTAACCAAGGGGGCCTGAATGATTCCGACAATCGGGCACCTTCAGGAATACTGTTAATGATTCCCATCCCTAGATTTAGCAGGGACCTGTGGCATGGGAGCTCTGAGGCAAGGGCTCAAGCAACTCTCAGATTCCTGCTGGAAGCATTGAGTTGTTGATGCCAGGGCTGATATAGGCTTTTTGCAGGCTTTGGGTTCAGGGCTTAGGGTTCAGGGTTTAGGGTAAACCCTATACCCTAAACCCCGGAAGGTCTTGGTAGCAGACAAGCTGCATCAGCTCTTGCTGTGGAGCTTTTGCTGGAGCGCAGATGCAAAAAATGGCGAGGCCGCCAACCAGCAGCATGTTGTTCCAAATCACCTTCCAGTCGGGTTTAGGCTTGTGAGGTTCCCACTCGAAACCTACATCGCTAGTTTGACAGGCGGAAGGCTCCATGGGACGTTGACAAGCGTAGGGTTGTCACGGAAGGACCGCTATCAGGCTCCTACCGGAAGTTCTCAAGGATGCAAGAGGTTTAAGGGTTTAGGGTCTAGGGTTTATTAGGGTTTAGGGTTTAGGGAGGGTGTGCTTCAACATGGCTGAGGCTCGGGATTCAAATTCGCAGTCTAGACGGCGCAAAGCGGAGTGGAGCAGTCATGGACCGCACTCTAAACACGAGATCCTGAATTTCCACTTCAAGCCTTTCCCAGGACTGTCTAGACTTGGGTTTGGGGGCTTCTATACTGAAAATATGCCTGAAAGCCACAAGAGTTAACTAAAAAAATATTTTACCGACACCGACATCGACTCAGTTCATACCCTAAACCCTAAACCCTAAACCCTAAACCCTAAACTGATGCCTGTTGCTGGTCCCGGTGCAGCTGCACAGCTGCACGCTTCCTGAAGGCAGCGGCTTCGGTTTTGGATAGGGCTTTGGGCTGCTGGGTTGCCCGAAACCCTAGTGCTAAACCCTAAACCCTAAACCCTGGGTTATCGGGTTTCGGGCTTTTCTTCGAGTGCATGGGGTCTAAACCCTAGACCCCAATAAAACCCTAAACCAGAAACCCTAGACCCCAGACCCTAAACCCTAGACCCTAAACCCTTCAGCCGCGGCGCATGTGGATGAAAATCTCCTCTCCCCAGGTGCACGTGGCGACGCCGAGGTCGGGGAGCCTCAGCTTGCGGAGTGCCAGGCCCTGCTTTGTTTAGGGTTTGGGGTTTAGGGTTTAGGGTTTAGGGGTTTAGGGTTTAGGGTTTAGGGTTGAGGGTTTAGGGTTTAGGGTTTAGGGCTGAAGTCCGAAACTCTAAATCCCAAACCCTGCATCCCAAACCTGCATGCTGCTGATGCTTGAACCGGTTTAAGGTTAGGGGTTTTGGGGTTTAGGGGTTTTGGGGTTTAGGGGTTTCGGGGTTTAGGGGTTCAGGGGTTTAGGGGTTTAGAGCTTCAGGGTTACCCTAAACCCTAAACCCTAAACCCTAAACCCTAAACCCTAAACCCTAAACCCTAAACCCTTAGGGTTATCTAGAATCCTGATGCTCAGGGCCTCAAAGACCGGGTGTTCAGCCATCAAGGCTCTACATTAGCGTTTGAGGATTTAAGCCCTGGGGCTATCGGACTCTGAACTGTGTAGGCTGAAAGGGCTCAGGGTTTAGGGTTTAGGGTTTAGGGTTTAGGGTTCAGGGTTTAGGGCTTAGGGCTAAGTTTTACTTCGGGTCAGGTGTCTGCAGATGGGTGTGGGGCAAGGGGATGTCCAATTGTGCTTTCTGTGGGGCTGTGGGGGTCCCTTATGCTCTTGACACTCCCTCATGGGTGCAAGCACCTAATATAGGGGCTTAAATATTTACCTGTGCTATTTTGGGGGTTCCTTATTCTAATTATAAATTAGTATAACGGGCCCCAAAGCCCTATTCTCATCATAGACTAAGGCCCCTGTATTATCAAAGCAATGCTCAACCACAATGCCTTTGAAGCCAAAGATGGCGAAGACTGAAGCCGCCGGAAACCCAAGCCCTCGCCTCCCTCCGAAACACAAACGCCACGACCAACTGCGACACCAAAGAGAGACAGGCAGCGGCACGTCCATCTTTGCAGCAGGTGCCTCCACGTCATCGGATTTAGAGTCTAGGGGTAGGGTTTAGGGTTTAGAGCTTTTGGGTCCCTCATTTTCTGACACACCGGTCGTGTCTTGCATGCAGGTTCACGCAACTTTAAACGCCTGTCCAGGCTGTGACCTGAACCCTAAACCCTAAACCCTAAACCCTAAACCCTAAACCCTAAACCCTAAACCCTAAACCCTAAACCCTAAACCCAACATGGTACTACATTGAAGATATCTTGCGAGCTCTTTTCCCCAGGCAGCCTGGCATGCAACTGACGAGATGCAATTACCAAACACCACCCGCTGCATCGTAGGTCTTCTTACTACTCTTGCTACTTCCAGCAGCAATCAATGCAGCAGGATGTGTAAGATAACGGGCTCAATTATTAGAGTTTCTGTGAAAGCTACTCTTGATTAGAATCAGGAGCCCGAAGAAGTAGTATCATGTACTCATGAGCAAGTCCCGTACGTTACTAGGATCTTGCAACTGAGCAATTCGTTGAGGGCTCCTCCCATACAAGCTCGAGGCTACGAGACTTCATCTGTAGAACCCCGCCCTAAACCCTAAACCGAAAACCCTAAACCCTAAACCCCTAAAAAAAAAAAAACATGCCCTCCCCCAAGCCCCGAAATCCGAAATCCCTCACCCTAAACCCTAGACCCTAAACCCTGAACCCTAAACCCTGCCCTGCCCTCTGCGCTCTGCGCCCAAGCATAGAATGAGTTTGACCTACCCCGAAAACCTCAGACGGCGGGGGGTAGGAAAAAACAAAAGAAACAGCCCTCCGGTCGCCACTTAAACCCTAAACCCTAAACCCTAAACCCTATACCCTAAACCTCTACGGCAAATGATCGTGCGGAAACCCTGAAGTTGGTGTTGCCCGCCTGCTGGTAGGTCGTCCGGTGCTGTCCCCAAGTCGCCTAGAGACTTCCCAACGTCGGTTGCTTCAGGTTGAAAGGTTTCGGGTCTAATGTAGGGGCTCTAATAATTAGAATAGGGTTTGGGGATGTTTGGGGTATATTCTACTACAATTGTAATAAGGAACCCCCCCAAAAAAAAAAAATAGTGTTGGTAATTCGCCTCGGCCCCCGGCCGAAGCGGTCAGAGGTTCCTATTCGTTGGCCCTCTTTGTTTGCGGCCGGGCCGAGGCGGACGACGCGATGCGTTTAAATCATTTAGGCCCCTATTGTAATCCCTAAACCCTAACCCCTAAACCCTAAACCCTAATATAGTCTACTATAATTATAATAGGGAACCCCCGAAACCCTATTCTAGTTATTAGGTACCTTACAGTAGCGTTTAGGATCCAGGATTTGGGGTCTTAGGGCTTGGGGAGTTGAAGGTTTCGGGCTCGGGGTGTAGGGTTTAAGCTTTGGGGTTTGGGGTTTAGGGTTTAGAGTTTAAGGTTTGGGGCTTAGGGCTTAGCGTTTAGGGTTTAGGGTTCCGGAGTTGGGTTTCTTTAGGACAAGTTGAACTCTGGATTGACAACTAAGGAGCTGGGATGGCTTAGGGTTTAGAGATGAAGGCGCCGGAGAACCCTAAACCCTTAAACCCTTGAACCCTTAAACCCTGAACCCCAAACCCCTAAACCCTAAACCCTAAACCCTAAACCCCAAACCCCTAAACCCTAAACCCTAAGCCCTGGCACTGAAGAGGTTGAGGAACTTCCGGATTCCTGGTGGAAGTTGGGTACTGCCCCCCTACAGTATCAGTCCAAAAAGAGGTCTCCTGTTAAGGGCCCTATATTTATACAAATATATATACACACACATATATATATATATACGTACATTTATTTTTTGTATTTGTTCATTTAGTTATTTATTTACATGTTCTTTTTTCATAAATCTTGTTCAATTTTTACTCAGTGGAGGCAGTCTCCAAGGTGGAAGGCTTTGTGGCTGTTGAGTTGTTCCCTCTTGTGGGGTGCAGGGAAAAGGAGCTGCACTCCTCGAGTTGCGGGTTGAAGCCTTGAGCCGCTCCGGACGTTTCTAGAGAGGCCGGAATGATATCTACTACTATTCCTAGGGGTCCCTATTATAAATATGCTACAAATGTTCCAAATTGTAAGTACGAAGTCCCCTATAATAGATTAAGTTATATGTGTTCTATTCAAGTTCTATTCAGTTCTATTCTATTCCGTTATATACAGGCCCTGTCGAAGTATGGTGCCCAGGTCATAGGTCGGGTTGAGGAGGATCTTTCAAGAGGCTGTATGTTTAGGGTTTATGGTTTAGTTTTTCGGGGTTGTAAGTCGACATCGAATGTGAGATGACACAAGATAGCACACTAAAGGCTAGTATGATATGACATGGTGAAAATTCCCCACGACATTAAGACAAGCTTTGACATTATGATGACTTCAGATCCAACATGAGGCTGGATTGGCAGAGCAACACACCAGCTAGGCGAGCTTGAGGTGTGTTTACGTAGGTTCAATTAAAACAAACCCTTTATGGAGCCCTTTCACGGGCACCCAAAGGAAACCCCCCCTGAAACACTGAACCCTAAACCCTGAACCCTAAAGCCTAAACCCTAGACCCTGAACCCTAAAACCTTAAACCCCAAACCTGAGTACGGTATTGGCCTCAATAAGCAGAATAGGGTTTTGGAGGTATATTACTAAACTATAGTTATAATAAGGAACCCTCCAAAATAGTACAGGTAGTTATTTAGGCCCCTACATTACATAACCCTAAACCCCAAACCCCAAACCCCAAACCCTAAACCGAAATCCCCAAACCCTCGAATGAAAAACCTTAAAACCTAAATCCTAAACTTCTCAACCCCTAAACTGCAAACCCTAAGACCTAAATCCCCCAAACCTTAAACCCCAAACCCTAAACCCCAAACCCTAAACCCTAAACCCTAAACCCCAAACCCTAAACCCTAAACCCCAAACCCTAAACCCCAAACCCTAAACCTTAAAACCTAACTCCCCCAAACCTGAGTACATGTTTAGGGTTTAGGGTTTAGGGTTTAGGGTTTAGGGTTTAGGGTTTAGGCCCAGGCTCTGCCAACCACTGCCCGAATTGCATCGGGCTCCCTAAATTCGCGACGCTCTGCTTCATCTCACCTTCGGTGACCATGGCCTCAGTCAAAGGCACGTCAGGGGTTCGTTATGTTTAGGGTTTAGGGTTTGGGGTTTTAAGGTTTAGGGATTTAGGGTTTTAGGGTTTAGGGATTTTAGTGTTTAGGGGTTAGGATCAGGGGTTCGGGGTTTGGAGTTAAGGGTTTAGGGTTGAGAGCTCAAGGTTTACGGCGTAGGGTTTAATTCTGCCGGCGTAGACACCAAACAGTGAGAAGGGCCGGAAGAGGCCAAAGGAGGCCGGAAGAAGGGAAGCACCATCCCCATCAGCATCATCATAATCATCCTGGAATTCTCGCGCCACCACAGCGAGAGCATCGAAGCGGAGGCACCTAACTCGGCCCCCCAGAAGAAGCCAGAAGTGAGCGCCCCACCGGGTGCGCCGATGCGACCCTCAGCCTACGTGGGCCCCCTCCGGAAGAAGCCGAAAGAGGCCGAGAACGGCGTGCAGAGGCCACAAGAGGGCGAGAGCGTCGAAACGGAGGTCCCGCCCTACCACCGCGTGCACCGTTGCGGCCCGCATCCAATTCCTTTACCCTCAACGTAAGAAGCCCATAGTGCAAGCACTGTTTGGGGAAAAACTTAAGGTTCAGGGTGTAGGCTTAGGGTTTAAAAGTGTAGGGTTCAGGATTTCAGAGTTTCAGAGTTTCAGGGTTCAGGATGTCCGTTAGGGTCTAGGTTTCAGGGCCTAACAAGGCCTCTGGCATTGGGCTCCAGTTTAAGAGTTGAGTGTCAAGGGCTTCGGGTTTACGGTTTAGGGGTTTAGGTTTCGGTTTTAGGGTTCTTGAGTTTAGGGTTTAGGGTTTAGGCTTTTAGTTTGGAGTTTAGGGCTTAGGGGTTTAGCGGGGTTTAGGGTTTATGTTTTAGAGTTGAGGGCGAAAGGTGCCGAAAGCGTACCCGACTGAAGGGGCTCACACATCAACCCTGAAGAATACTTTATGAGGCCTTAATAATTAGAAGAGCGTTTTGGGGGGTTCCTTAATATAACTATAGTATAATATACCCCCAAACCGTATTCTAATGATTGAGGCCCCTCTATTCGTCTCCTTGTTATAAGTGAGCCCCGAAGCCGCGAGAAAAGAATTCCCAAGGCAAGGCGAGGTACAGCAGCAGCATCGACAGTGATTGCGTCCAGGAGGGTGTCCGCCGGGTTAGCCTTTTACTTAGGGGCTGAGTACCCCAGCCCAAAAAAGGCCCTAAACCCCAAACCCTAAACCCTAAGCCCCAAACCCTAAACCCTAAACCCAGAAGCCCCAAAAGGTTAAAGGTTACCTCCTCAGCCCCTAAGTTTAGAACCCGGAAACCTCAAGGCCCTTTAAGCATCAAACCTGTTGTTCCCAGCATCGGATGCCAAGGATGAAGAGTCATTCTCCAGCCGTGCCCAGTTTTAGACGTTACTAGCTAGGGTTAGTAAAAGGCAGTTCAGGTTCGGAGCATGTGGAGATATCACCCTAAACCCTAAACCCTAAACCCCGAAACCCTAAACCCTAAACCCTAAACCCTAAACCCTAAAGCCTAAACCCTAAAGCCCTAACTGACCAGAAGCTTCTTGGTTACATTGGCGACTCTACTATCGAAGATATACAGGTCCCGACGACAGTAATAGAGGGGCCCTCGTGACTGAAGAGGGTTTGGGTTTAGGGTTTAGGGTTTAGGGTTTAGGGTTTAGGGTTTAGGGTTTAGGGTTTAGGGTTTAGGGTTTAGGGTTTAGGGTTTAGGGAAGGCATCATGCTCGCACTCTGTGACGGCATAACGTATATAGGGACTATGAAGGATCGCTATTGCTGCTTCTACCACAAACCCCAACCCATCAATCCTTTGTTTAGGTGTAGGGGTTTGGGCCCTAAACCCTAAACCCTAAACCCTAAATGGTTTGGGGATTCAGGTCTGGGGTTCAGGCTGTGCGGTTTCGGGTTCATCGAGGCAGCCCCCGGCGCTCCGTTTCGGGCTTGTCGAGTTCTTGGGTTTTTTTTCGAGCAAACAGTGGACCAGTCTCCTACCCACTGGCCGGCACTAACCTTTCAGGGAGTACAAGGACGTTTTCTATTTCCGGGTTTATACATATATATATATATATATATATATATAGGGTGTGTGTGGTTTCCTTCGACGATTTAAGCTCCGTTGTTCTGCGTTTCGCATATACAGCAAGCTGCAATGGATCGCTCCCTTGTGGCGAGGTTTACGGAAAGGCTTATTAGGTTTAGATATTGGCGCTGTCTTGAGCTCGCAGAGCACAAATTCTTCCTTCAGCGCTCCTGAGAATCTTCACAACATGAACTACTGTCAGTTTTGCTTGTAAGGACCCTACTTAGGCCTGCTCTTCCATTTGACCACCATAAAAAAATCTGTAGCATCATTGTTGCAGCTAGGACACTTTGGGCAGGAAACGCACCCCAAGAACATCCGAGAAGTAGCGCTCGACATCGGCTGTGGGTCCAGAGTACACCAAGAAGCCTCAGCCGGTCAAAGCTTGGTTTTCGGGCGTTTGGGTTGAGGGTTTAATTGGGGCTTTTGGGATTAGGGACTTAGGGTTTGGGGTTTGGGGTGCTAAACCCTAAACCCTAAACCCTAAACCCAATGCTCACAACCCTAGACCCTAGCCTTCCCTTAACTACCGTGTTGGTGCATAAAGTATCAACACCCCATAACGCCTTTCAAGAAATGTCACATCTGCCGAAACCCCCTCCATGACATACAACAAGATCTGTTTGTGCACACAGAACCCTAAACCCTAAACCCCCTTAGTGCGCGCCTCCGGCTGCAAGTAGGATCACATTGTCGAAGAGCCGAAGCGTCTCGTAGCGAGGCTGGTGGATGACGGCCTCGATCTGCTGGACTAGGCAATCAAGAAACCCAACCGGTTTAGGGTTTAGGGCTTAGGGTTTGTGTTGTAGATGTGCGCGGAGTCAGAAAAGACTGTAAGCCAGCTGTAGTACAATATGGCAAGCGTGACGTCAAACAACTTGAAATTGGATCCCTACAATAAGCAAGCGAACCGCAATTGCAGGAAAAAACACGTGCAGTTCTCCCGGCCTGGGCATAGAGTTTATTGCGCCAGAGTATGACTTGAATACGACTGTCTAAGGACTTTAGGAGGGACCCTTAATAGGGACCCTTAATCCCATTACCTCAAATAACCATTGTATAGTCCCTTTATGAGCCTTAGAAAGCCAAGTAGTCTCCATATTAACCCCAATAACCTACAAGGGTCCCTATTAAGGGTCCCTCCTAAAGCCCTTACTAAACCCTGAACCCTAAACCCTAAACCCTAAACCCTAAACCGTTTTAAGGGCCAAGTAGTCTCCATATTAACCCCAATAACCTACAAGGGTCCCTATTAAGGGCCCTTGGAGATTGAAGGCCCGAGTCGCTTTTTTATGTGCCGGAAGCTGGGATCTTCGCCCAAGGGTTTAGGGTTTAGGGGTTTAGGGGTTTAGGGGTTTAGGGTTTAGGGTTTAGGGTCAAGACTCCAACACCCTCAACCCTAAACCCTCAACCCCTAAGCCGCGGGATTTCCCGAAAATTGCCGCAGCTTTTCCTTCCGGAGGATTCCCTGACCGACCTTACTTAGGTTACGAAGTAATGTAGAGGCCTTGCTAATTAGAAGAGGGCTTTGGAGTATATTATACAATGATTATATTAAGGAGCGCCCCCAAAAAAATTATCGGTAATTGTTCAGGCCCCTTTATTGCACTAATTGGTGTTGTCAATTACCTTGTTTCTGGTCCTGCTTACAAATTCCCGTGATCCATATACGAATAAGGCTCCTCTGGATGCCTAAGTAGGAGACAAGGCGCAATGGTGGTGCACCGCTGCTTCTTAGCAGCCTGCGTCACGACGTCCACCACGGAGTGGGAGGTGGTGGAATCCTGAAGCTAAGGCTGTAAACCCTGATCTGCCCTAAACCCTAAACCCTAAACCCTAAACCCTAAACTAAACCCTACACCCTAAACCCGTTGAGTCCCTGCTTTACAAGCGCCATGCTTGCCGCTTCGCGTTGTCTCCCGGCATACCAACGTGGGAATCTTTGCACTGCACACTTGGAGGATCATGGGACTTAGTAGGTAGGGTAATAAGTGCCTTAATTAGGCTTATACGTAGTTATAAGTATAGCTACCCTAATAGTAACCTTAGTTATTAAGTCCCATGATCCTTTAAGTACCTACCTCGTTCGAGGTGGATTTCGTGCCATGCTCATGCTCAGCAATGATCCTGGCAAACTCTGGCAGGGCTGCATGCTGCGCTTGCGATTTCTAAACAAATAGGGATGCCAGAAAAGCATCATCTTAAACCGCATCAACCATTAGAGCTGTCTTTTGCAGCCACTCCCTACGTGTCTGGATGGGCACTATGCGTGTCAATCAAAGGCAAGCAAGGCCACAGGGAGACACTGAGGATGCCCGAAAGTATCAAAACGGTGACGCTGCCAGGAGTTTGGTCGCGCCAAAGATGCCACGAGAGCTCTGCGATCGCACGGTCCGCTGTAAGTAATGTCGCGACCAGCAGTATGCCTATGGCTACCAGCCCTACTGACAGCATCAGCTGCTGACACACGCCAGCCGCGAGGTTACGACACTTGTAGGCCAAGCGGAGCAGAATCAAAACTATGCTTGGTATCAACATCGTGCAAAAGGATACACCTGCAATCATCACCTGTACTGGCACGTGCTGGTTTGCCATTCTCCAAAGGCTTAGATCGAGAAAGAACCAAAACAGAGGGCAGAGCGCCTGCACAATGCGCCAATACGAAAACACATTATTTGCAAGCTGATGGACCAAGATTGTCATCACATGCTGCCGAACCAATGCCTCGAACTGCTGGGTGGAGCCAAACCAAGATGATATGCATCGAATAAGAATGCTTCGGTCACAGATCAAGGGCTCACCTGTGTAAGGGTCGGTGTGACCGGAGGAGCAGCAGTGACACAAAGCTTGCTGAATGGTGAAGTAGCGGACTTGGTTCTGCACCACCTCTATGCTGCGACAGTGTTCGAGGACCACATATGCGACCACTGTGAAGCAGGGGAAGAACAGACCACAGATGATGATAGCACCCCAAGGAATTATTGGCAGCTGCATAACTTCGGTGGCCAGCAGGAGCATGCTCAAACCGAGGTTCCCGATCAATAATGCCGGACCGACAAAGACCGGGCATACCAAAAGGTGCCTCTGGGCGTCTGTAGTTGGACCCTTGCTATGTAGAAATGCAGCCATTTCCTCAGCTGCTCTTTGCTAAAGGCTTGCTTATAAGTTTACTGAACACCAAAACTGCTGAACAACACAACAGACTTAAAGCAAATAAAGTTGCAGTTAAGAGCTACCAGTACCAAGCCGCGAACATGCACCAAAGCCTGGAGGTGTGGGAGGAATCCCAAAGTACCAGAAGCGACTTAGAGCGCTTCAATATAGCACCCATGCTGACCAAGCCCTCAGTCTTCAGCTGGTCGTCTACCTGATTGATGCAGGCAACGTCGAGGAAAGCCAGTTTCCCTCTGCGCCAAAGCAGCAAAGTCAAGTAGTAGCTCACAGCACCCGTGAGGACGCTCCATCCGGCGGGGCCGCCATGCACCGTTTCACCAGACCACAGCGGGAGGACATCAGCCGCACAAAGCACGAAAGATACAGAGGCAAGGAGTGTACCCACCACAAAGGCAGGGAAACTGTTGTGCAAAACAAGTATGCTGATGTACTTCAGCCACCCGTGCGTGCGCCAGCTGTGGGACCAAAACTCGTCGACTTCCAGCGTCGCCTTGCTGTACACATGGAGAGCGCCGAGATCTCCACGGCCCACATGCGTGGTGTGCGCTGCAGAGCTTGGCACACCGGGATCCCTCGGACGATGTCTGGCCGCGTGGGTTGCATCGATGCCAAGATCTGAAGGTAAGTCTCCAGATGTGGGTTGACAACATCCCAGGAGCCCTTCGATACAGAGCTCTCTGACGGTGCTTCAGAAGCATCCACTACCACTCCCGGAAGCTCAGCGGGGACTCCCAGGGCCGTCTCAAGGCCATTAACGGACATCTGAGTCAATGCACGTAGCTGCACGGCTGACCCATGAGCCAGTCCTCCATTGGGTGGTTGTCAAAATTATGGTCACTTTTTGGGTGATAATTCTAACACGGCACCTATTATTCAGGGTACCCCAAAAGGGACCATAATTTTGGCAACTGCCCATTTATAAGAACAACTATTCCGCTCCACCGCTTGGAGTATGTCTCTTTGCTCAAGATACTGCTTGGTCTGCCCCGTGAGCGCATGATCGCGGCTTAGAAGCAAACACTCGCATCACTCTGAGCAGCAAAGAAAGGGATCTGGACATGGAAATTTCCGAAAATTCGGGGTACCTTATTTTGGGGTCCTTATATTGAGGATCCTATTATTCAGGGTACTATATTAGGGTCCCCTATTTTCGGAAACCCCCACATGGAAAGCTGCCACTAGAGGCCCGAGACGAACACTGCCCTTTTCTACCGCTCCACTTGGCACCTCCCTTCCTTAGAAACCTTAGCCGCTACCGCCCATCAACAACATTGGGTTTAGGGTTTAGGGTTTAGGGTTTAGGGTTTAGGGTTTAGGGTTTAGGGTGGCCGCTACCCGCCATCAACAACATTGGAAATTTAGACGTCCAACCTTACTATCACTACTAAGCCCCCTATCTTAGACCATCAGGACCCCTCCCCTCGCCTTCCCCCCTAATGGAATCTGCAAAGCGCAAGGACCCCATACCACCCTGCAAACCCGAAACACCTAGACCGCTCATAGCACCCTAAACCCTAAACCCTAAACCCTAAACCCAACGTAAAAGTCTAAATCCCCACATCCGCCACTTAAATTAGCCTACCAAACCAACAGGTCTCTGTGGTACTACGTTGGCCCTGTGTCCAAGGGAGACCATAAACACGCGCATCTTGAGGGTTTGAGGGTTTAGGGTCATTTGGGGTTTCCGAAAATAGGGGACCCTAATACAGTACCCTAAATAATAGGATCCATCTTATGACCTCAAAATCAGGTGCCCTAATTTTCGGAAAGTCCCATTTCACTTCCTGAGTTCTGTCTGAAGACCTGGCAACCGCCTTCCATGGGTGACTGCGACCTCGATACTGCACTCGGCTCCTTTTTATCATGGCTGTGGTGGAAACACCAAGTCTGGAACGGTTTAGGCACTTGGACAAAACCAGGACTTTGTAACCTTTGCTGACATGGTTTAGGGTTTGCATTAGGAATTCATGTAGGGGCCTCAATAATCACCAATACTATTTGAGGGGGGTTCCTTATTATGATAATTAGTATAATGGGACCTAAAAGCCTCTTCTAATTATGAAGGCCCCTAAACCCTAAATCCTGAACCCCTAAACCCCTAAACCCCTGAACCCCAAACCCCAAACCCCTAAACCCCAAACCCCTAAACCCTTTGCAGTAGGAATTAGATTTAGGCTTTGGGGTTTGGGGCTCAGGTCGCAGAAGCTGACCCCAAGACTCAGGATTCGGTGCAAGGATTCGGGTTTAGGGTTTAGGGTTTAGGGTTTAGGGTTTAGGGTTTAGGGTTTAGGGTTTAGGGTTTAGGGTTTAGGGTTTAGGGTTTAGGGTTTAGGGTGATTCTAGACGGATGGTTGTAAAGGCCGTAGAAGGGCAGCATAACAGTATAAGGCTGTAGCAGAGTACTATGAGGTGTATTAGAAGGGCACCACAGGGTTTCGGGGGATTTGGGAATTTAGGGATTCAGACTTTGGGTTTTAAGATAGGTCGTTGACGGGAAGGACGTGTTCCCAACTACACCCCAAGTTCCTAAACCCTAAACACTGAACCCTAAACCTAAAACCCTAAACCCTAAACCCTAAACCCTAAATCCTAAACCCTAAACCCTACACCCAAAGTTCTTCCGGGCCACCAATCCGCTTGTCGGCTCATCAAGAAAGAGCAGGGAGGGCCTGCCCCCCGACGTTCCCAAAAAGCAGTGAGCGGAAGGTCTCTGAAGCTCGTTTAAGGCCTTGGGGGTTGGGGTTGAGGGTTTAGGGTTGAGGGTTGAGGGTTTAGGGTTTAGGGTTTAGGGATTAGGGCCGTTCAGACTATGGGTGTGCTTGAGTATATCATAATGCGCATCATCATCATCATCATCATCATCACCATCATCATCATAGGGGTGCATAAGTAAGGCAGCAGCATTGCCAACTGTATGGGACTCCATATGACATAGGGTACTCGGAGGAGATCTTGAAGCTGAGGACATGCGGAAGCAAGAAGCAAAGCCGAAAGTTTTCGGGATTCGGAATGAATGTCGAGCATTGGGGGATTTCGACTGGGAGTATTGAGCCTGCTTGCCCCCGGGATATGGGATGCAAAACCCCAGAAAACCGTACCCTAACCCTGAATCACCGAAACCTCAACCCCCTCAATGCGAGGCCTACACACTAGAACTCTCGAAACTCGAAGGCCAAAACTCATCTAAGGGCTTTAGGAGGGACCCCCAATAGGGACCCATTACCTTAAATAACCATTGTAGTCCTTTTATGCCCCTTGTATAGCAAGGTAGTCTCCATATTCACCCCAATAACCTACAAGGGTCCCCATTAAGGGTCCCTCCTAAAGCCCCTAAACCCTGAACCCTAAACCCCTTAGATCCATAAGTTAAGAGCCCAGGCCTCGCTACGAACTCCATAGCAATGGAGACGCGCTTCCGCTGCCCGCCAGACACGCCCTTCACCTGTCAGGGGCTGCGAAGGGGTTTGGGGTTCGGGGGGCCTGGGGTTCGGGGGGAGCCCCTAAACCCTAAACCCTAAACCCTCAACCCCTAAACCCCTAAACCCCTTAAACCCCTAAACCCCTAAACCCCTAAACCCTAAACCCTAAACCTCTAAGTCCCTAAACCCTAAACCCTAAACGCCCTAAACCCCAAGTTTGAGATTCAAGGCTTCGAGCATGAGGGTTAGGCCTTAGAACTTATAGCCAACAGGATTCTAGGGTTTAGGGTTTGGGGGATCAAGGCGAACGTTGAAGTTATGGGTGGTACTGTTGATGATATAAGTATTGCATTACCTTAAGGACCCTAAACTATGGGAAGTATGGTAGATTCCTTATTATGGGTAATACGGGAGTTATATCATCAACCGTAGGGCTTAGGGTTTAGGGGTTGCCGGGCAAGGATGAAGGGTTTAGGGTGTAGGGTTTAGTGTTCAGGGTTCAGGGTTTAGGGTTCAGGGTTTAGGGTTTAGGGTTTTGGGTTTTGGTCCACAGGGACTGTTCATGCCTCATGACAGCCATCTGCTGTAACTGTTCGTGCATATCAGAGTAGTATCAAGCAGGACCTGCTAGATGTTGCCGACGCAGACCGTTTGGGGATGTCACAAACCAAACACACTAAAGCCTGGAGAGCGGTGAAGAGATCGGCATGATAAGCCTGAAAACCAAAACCCTAAACCATAGACCCTACACTGCCCTAAACCCTTAAACCCCTAAACCTAAACCCAAAACCTAGACCCTAAACCCTAAACCCTAAACCCTTAAACCCGTAAGCCCCTAAACCTAAACCCTGAAACTCTAACCTCGCCTGCTCGTCGCCTATCGCAGTCTTCCGCAACTGGGGATCTCCCAAACCCAACTGCCTGCGACTTGGGCTTCAAAAGCTGGGGGGTCGGGTTTAGGGTTTAGGGTTTCGGGTTTAGGGTTTAGGGTCTAGGGTTTAGGGTTAAGGGTTTAGGGTTTAGGGTTTAGGGTTTAAGGTTTAGGGTTTAGGGTTTAGGGTCTTTGGGTCTTTGGATGG